ATTCACCATCAACCATCTAACATTAAGATCATCAATGAAAGAAATATTTTAATATAGCATTATATGTATACATGAAATAATGGCACCAACACAATGGCTGAACTAAAGTGGAAAGAAAAGCTAGTGGAACATACTCCACTAGATCAATCCTATAACTAAGCTAGAATATAATGGGCAAATCTCCTTGAAAGCATGAGGGCCTACCAAATCTTTATGAATGCTCCACGTTTGGATAACTTCAGCGTCAATCTGTAGCTCTAGCGTCCACCTGTGCCTGCACGTAAGACTATAGAGTTGTATAGGGTTAGTACGCAATTGTAATAGGTATGGGTATATGCAAGCACACACCATGTGCATGCATGAGTAAGAATATCTCTTTCCTAACAACATGATTTTAGAAGGTCAAGTCAGTGGAATTGCCTAACTGAGATTAGGAAAGTGAGTGTTCTTTCCAAAATTGGATTACAAAAGTTTATGATCTTTCCAAATTTTGATTAGGAAAGTTATGCCATGAACATTTTTCACACATTACAAAATAGCATACACATAGCACATATCATTATTCATATAACACATAAAGTTGTTCATATTTTTTCATTCGTATGCCATGAGACCTTGAATTAAGGGACTTGACATTAAGACATCCCAAAAATGAGGGCTCAACATATAGGACATCAACTAAGGAGTCTAATTTAGAAAATACGGAGTCTGCTTCATTCATTCATACGTACTTCATTTCGTTTCATTCAAGGGCCAGTGTAAACACCAGCTATACCTAAGATGTAGTTTAAGACTTTCATCGGGTTTGTTTTGCAATAATCAAGAATGACATAATGTCGTTACTTGAATCTAAATCACCTATTGATTATCCTATCCTAACACATTTGGTATCATTCGTTTTATTATATGCTTCATTTGAGGCTGGTCTCATTCATTCACTAGGAACTTCAACTTTACCCAACATAGATCATATCAACATCATGAAATCCAGTGTCATGAAACCCCACACCGAAAAAAGGTGGAATGACCAGCCAAAGTTACCCAAAACATGCTAGAGTACATCAGTATTCAACCCCTCCAGATCCCTATATTGGTAGTATAGATTCGGAGACTAGGAGATATAAGGAGACCCATGCCCGGCATGCCGGACAGTCTCATCTCATGAGAGTTATGTGAACATCTGCCTTTCCCGAAAGACGGCATCACCGCTCATATCTAGTCTAATGGTGCTCAGTATAAAGTTCCGTTACATTCAACTCATACATCATGGATGTTTGCTTCTAGCATGAGGTCATCGTAGCTCAATAGATGATTTCTCATCTCATCATTAGTAATAAGTATGTTAATCTCAATACTTTCATTACAGTGTTCATAAAGACTAGTTTCTTCATTAGGTTTACACTCTTATAGGTGAGTACATTTTGGTAACATTTACTTAGGCTCATTTGAGATTGCTCTCATCTTTTACATTAGCCTCATATCATGTTGTCACCACATTCATTATCATTACAACATTATCTCTTCATACTTACTCACCCCTTTTTACGTGAATGTTTATTTCATCACATGTCAATGCCCTTCGCCATTTGGTGTGTTTCAGACTCTTACTTAACCCTTCTAGGGATTCATCATTTCATTGTTCATTTCATCGTTTCATTGTTCATTTTATAATATGACAATGCACTTGTCCATTTAATGTATTTTACACTCGTACTAATCCCTTCTAATGTTTCATCATTTCATTACATACATCTTAGGTTCACTCAGTTTTAAACGTATGCTACACTTATGGGTCTATACATACAAACCATTGGGCTTCATTCATAGGTTGTCTAGGTGATTCATATTTATGTGCTACAAGACTTATCATCATGTAGATATGCCAACATATTAATTTTGATCTTTAAAGGCAGCATTCATCAAATATTTACTTACTTATGACTTACGTGTCAATGCGTAATTGGGAAAGGGAATCCGATTTCAAATACCTTGGAAAACACTTAATATTATTTTAAACTTGATAATAGCATTTTTTAGATTTGGGGGACTCTAGTTTGATCCCTATCAACCCCATAGTATTTTCTTTATTTTTCTCCTCTCCTTTTTCGTTTATGTCAAGGAGGTTGTGGGTTCAATTCCCAACAAGCTCATTATTTTTCTTTTATTTTATCTCTTAAATTACTCACCTATCAAAGAGGTTGTGGGTTCAATATCCACTCCCCACATTTATTTTCTACTTTATTTTTCTCCTAACTCTCTCATCCAGTCAAGAGGTTGTGGGTTCTATCCCCACTCACCACAACTACTTTTCCTTGCATTTTTCTCACGAAATTTATATGAAATTTTCATTTAGTGATGTCATGGTTTCAATACCCAATGACCTCACATTTTTTTAAAAAAATTTAAACGAAGCTCATTTTTTAAAAAGTTGGCCGAGACTACAATTTCCAGCAGACTAAAATTTAGTCTCTTCCAATCAATTTTTGCCTTAATCTTTGTTGATTTTTTTTGTTGATTTCATGTAATGATGTATTGGGTTCAATCCTTAGTGACCTCACTTTTTTTACATTCATTTTTTAATGCATTTTGTACAATCTTGTTTGGACAAACCCAACCAACCAAATGGTTAATATTTGTTCACTATTTTCTGCTTCTTTTTATCATCATTCATACGTTAATTCTTAAGGCATTTCGTGGATCATTTGGTGCATCTTTAAGTGTATTATTTTGATGATTATATTAAGCAAATAATTACCATTTCGTCCAGCAACATTACAACACTTTTACACCTCATGATTTACACAAACATTCGCACATAAAATTCAACCATAAAAATATTTTCACATACTTTCGGTTGACATTACTTAACATTCTAACAATTCCAAAAACATAATCAAGAATACATTAACACGAAAATCAAACTTCATACTTAAACTAACAACAAACATACAAACAACATGATCTCTAACCTATTTCACATTTAGATCAAAGGGATACTAGGGAACGGGAATAAACCTTGTTTTGCTGTAGATTCATCTGATCCTTAAGGGTCTCTTGGGATAGGTACCAAGAGTAAGAAACCCATAACTTTTATGACGTTCAAACCTCGAATTTCTGTCCAAAATATTCTCCATAAATTACGTCCAAATTTCGTTGAAGTCAACACCGACTCGATGGACAATCTTCTCTTTGCCTACGTGATTGATTTTGTTTGTTTTCTTATATTTTCGTTGTGAGTTTTTCATGTGTGAAGAATTTTGATTTAACTAATGTTTTTTTGTAGTTTTTTGGCATAGAGAATCGTGAGTGACAATGTTAGAGAAGTGAGAGAGATAGATGAGCGTGGGCGAAAAGAGTTTTCTTAGGATAAGGAGTCTAGTTTAGGATTTAGTCATATAAGATTTTTACTTAATTATTAACAATCTGATTTCCTTTTATTTTATATCAGATAATAAATAATGAATATGAATAAATTACATTAGTTTACAAACTTAAATTAAAAATAACTTAATTCATTGCTTCCACCTTGGTTCGAAGCCGGCTAGAGCAAGACTTCAATTCAAGAGCAAATTTTCGGTTCTCTCATCCCTAAATGCCCCTCTACCTTTTTAAATAAATAAATAATAATATATTTAGGGTAATTTATATACAACCCTTAGTGTGGAAAAATACCATTTTACCCCTAGACCGTCCAAACCTTAGATTTTCCCTTTTTAAGTCCGGTAAAGACTCCTTCAAGTAAATCTTCGTATTCGAGAGACATACATGGTTGGACCGAACATTTTATAGTAGAACAAATTCACCAAGTTAGTTGGATTGGATGTAGAAAGTATTCAGAGCTCTGGTTCTACGAGCATCAACCGTGTGAAACTAGTCGAATCGCAGGCATTCTAGACACATTAAGCATTACTTAGCATATTCATTTTTTAGGGTTGTTACAATATTGACGTTGACATTGACATTAACATTGAAGTTCATGTTCATTTTAACGTTAATATTAATCTTCACATTAAAGTTTACATTAACATTCACGTTAACAATGACTTTGACATATACATTGATGGTTACACTTACGTTAATGCTTACGTTTAGGTTGACAGTCAGGTTCACATTTATTTTGACATTCAGGTTGATGTTATCGTATATGTTGACTCATACTTCACATTAATGTTCATATTAACGTTCACATTGACATTGACGTTCACATTCACATTCACATTCACAGTAATATGCATATTGACACTTACATTGATGTTCACGTTGACATTGATTTTGATATTCACACCGAAGTTTAATTTGATGTTTAAGTTCAAATTTACATTGACATTAACATTCACATTTATGTTGAAGTTCACGTTCACGTTTAAGTTAATGTTTACGTTGACGTTCACATTTGAACATACGTGCATGATAACGTTCACGTTTACGTTCACATTGATGTTAACGTATATTTTCACATTTTCTTTGATGTAACTTTTAAAGTTCATATAGATATTTATATAGATGTTCACGTACACATTCATTTTAATATTGACATTTACGTTTACACTTATGTTGATGTTGAAGTTTATGTTCATGTTGATATTAATGTAGACTTTGACGTTTACATTTACATTGACATTTCCATTTATGTTAATATTTATATTGACGTTCAAGCTTACGTTTATATTCACGTTGATGTTCAAATTGAAGATCAAGTTTATGTTTGCATTGAAGATCACGTTCATATTGACGTTCATATTGATGTTGACATTGGCTTTCACATTGAAATTCACGTTACTGTTGACGTTGGAATACACATTGACGTTCAAATTTACATTACAGTTGATGTTGCATTAATATTTACGTTAACATTCACGTCATATTTACGTTGAATGTATGTTCATGTTGATGTTCACATTCATATTGATGTTGATATTCGCGTTGACATTAACATTGTGGTTTACGTTGATGTCTACGTTAATATTGATGTTGATGTTTCAGTTTAAATTGACAATTTTATGGATGTTTTCATTGATGTTAACATTGACTTTAACGTTCACGTTGCTGTTCTAATTGACGTTCACGTTGATGTTCAAGTTGACGATCATATTCACGTTGACGTAAAATTTCATGTTCACATTGACATTCACGTTCATGTTAACGTTCGCTTTGATGTTTATGGTGATTTTCACATTGATGTTCATATTGATGTTTGCATTAAAGTTCACATTGATGTTCACGTGGATATTTATGTTCATGTTCAGGTTGACGTTGATGTTTATATTAACGTTCACGTGAACTTTCACGTTGAAATTTAAGTTGTTATTACATTGATTTTAACATTGAAGTTCACGTTCACTTCTACGTTAACATTGAGTTTCACGTTAATTTTCATGTTGACGTACACATTGACGTTCATATTTATGTAAACATTCACGTTCAAGTTCACATTCACATTTACGTTTATATTGACGTTAGTGTTAAATATAGCATCGACATTGATATTTACATTAACGTTTATATTGATATTGATGTGGATAATCACGTTAACTTTGATTTTGACATTCATGTTCACATTGACGTTGACGTTCACTTTTACGTTCACGTTGATGTTCACATTTACATTGATGTTTATATTCACGTTCATGTTCATGTTGATGTTTACGCTGACTTTTATATTGATGTTTACATTCATATTGACATTTACATTCACCTTGATGTTTATATAAAATTCTCATTTACGTTGAGGTTCATGTTCACATTCATGGTCATGTTCACATTCATATTAATGTTGATATTTATGTTGACATTGAAGTTGATGTTTACGTTGATGTTGACGTTGACGTTGACATTGATGTTGAAGTTAACGTTGACATTCACGTTCACATTGTTGTTGACATTGTTGTTCACATTGATGTTGATGTTCAATTCACATTTACGTGTTCACATTGATATTGTTGTTCACGTTCATTTTGTTGTTGATGTTAATGCTGATGTTGAATTCACGTTTACATGTTCACATTTACGTTGACATCTGTATTCACATTGTCACTGATGATAACATTGATGTTAATGTTTATGTTGACATTTATGTTCATGCTCAGGTAAATGTTAACGTTCACATTCATAATTTACGTTGACGTTGATGTTCAAGTTTATATTTGCATTGAAGTTCACGTTAATGTTGATGTTCAAATTGAGTTTGACGTTAACGTTCACACTACTGTTCACATTGCAATTACGGTTAGTGTTGACGTTTGCGTACATATTGACATTAAGGTTTACATTAGTGTTGACCTTACATTGACGTTTACATTGACGGTCATGTCACATTTAATTTGAACTAACATGGATATTGATGTTCACATTCACATTCACATTGACATTGAAGTTGACATTAAAATTGAGGTTACGTTGATATTTACGTTAATATTTATGTTCAAATTGACATTCACATTGACGTTTAAGTTGACGGCCATATTCACGTTGACTTTTATGTGAACGTTCACTTTACCATTGACATTAAAATTTATGTTAACATTGACGTTGATGTTTATTTTGATGTTCACATTGAAAATCACATTGACTTTTACATTAAAGATTATATTAATGTCCACTTTGATGTTTATAATCACGTTTAGGTTGACGTTCATGATTGCATTAACGTTCACATGCACATTCACGCTGATGTTACATTGTTGTTTACATTGATTTTGACATTGACATTTGTTTTTATGTAGACATTTACGTTGAATTTCATGTTAATATTGACTTGGATGTATACATTGACATTCATGTTTAAGTTAACATTCACGTTCACATTCACATTAGCATTTTTGTTAATGTTCACGTTAATGCTGACATTCACGTTGACATTAATATTTACATTAATATTTATATTGATATTGACGTGGACATTCACATTAACGTTGACATTTACATTCATGTTCACATTGAAGTTGACGTTCACATTGACGTTCACTTTTACATTCACGCTGACATTCATATTTACATTAACATTGACATTCATGTTTATGTTCATGTTGACATTTACACCAACGTTTACGTTCACGTTTACTTTGACATTCACCTTGATGTTGACATGGAATTCAAATTAATATTGAGGCTCACGTTCACATTAATGTTAATGGTCACATTTATATTGATGTTGATTTTGATGTTGACGTTGATGTTAATGTTTATGATGACGTTGATGTTGATTTTTACATTGGTGTTGATGTTGACATTGATGTTCCCGTTCATATTGTTATTGACGTTGACGTTGATATTTATGTTCATGTTGAATTCACGTTTACGTGTTCACATTGGCGTTGATGTTCAAGATGATATTTTGGTTGGCAATTATATTGACGTTGATGTTAATGTTGATGTTGACGTCGATGTAGTTATTGACGTTTACATTGACATTGATATTGACATTCACGTACATTTATATTCAAATTGTTGTTGATGATAATATTGATGTTAACATTTATGTTGACGTTCATGTTCATGATCACGTAAACGTTAAAGTTCACATTCACAATTTACATTGACGTTGATGTTCATGTTTATGTTTGCGCTAAATTCACGTTCATGGTTACGTTGACATTAAAGTTGACGTTGATGCTCATATTCATATTCACATTGAAATTCAGCTTAGAGGTGACGTTGGCGTGCACATTGACATTTCGGTTGACATTAGTGTTGACGTTGCATAGATTTTTATATTGATGTTCATATCACATTTACGTTGAATTCACGTTAATTTTTGATGTTCACATTGATGTTTACGTTTATATTTATTTTAATAATGATATTGATGTTTACATTTATGTTAACACTTTTATAAACGTTTTTGTTGATATTGACATTTATGTTATGTTCATGTTTAATTTCAAATTAATGTTCACATTGACGGTCATATTCACGCTTACATTGACGTACATGTTCATGGTCACATTAACATTCACGTGTATGTTTACATTCACGTTAATGTTTATATTGATGTTCACATTGACGTTCACTTTTACATTTACATTAAAGTTCACATTAATGTTCACATTGATGTTTATGTTCACGTTAATATTGACGTTGATGTTTACTTTGACGTTCATGTATACTTTCAAGTTGAAGTTTACGTTGTTGTTTATATTGATGTTAACATTGACGTTCACGTTCACATTGTCATTCACGTTGAATTTCACGTTAATACTAATGTTGGCGTACACATGGACGTTCACGTAAGTTGACATCGATGTTCATGTTCACATTCACATTTATATTAATGTTTATATTGATATTTACATTGACGTTCATATTAATGTTGATGTTGACATTCATGTTCACATTGACATTGACCTTCACCTTGATGTACACGTTGACGTTCACTTTCAAGTTCACGTTGATGTTCACTTTTACATTGATGTTGACATTCACGTTCATGTTCATATTAACGTTTATGATGTTGTTTACGTTCACGTTGACATTCACATTCACCTTGATGTTGACGTAGAAATCACATTAACATTGAGGTTCACATTCATATTAAAGTTCACGGTTCATATTTATATTGACATTTATATTGATATTAACGTTGACGTTCATGTTTACGTTGACATTGACGTTGACATTGACATTGATATTTATGTTCACGTTCACATTCACGTCATAGTGTTGTTGACGGTGACGCTGATATTGAAATCACATTTATGTGTTCGCATTGACGTTGATTTTGTAGATGATGTTTGCATTGACATTTATGTTGACGTTGATGTTAATGTTGATGTTGACGTCGATGTAGATGTTGACATTGACATTGACATTGATATTAAAATTTAGGTTGACGTTTGTATTCACATTGTCGTTGATGATAACATTGATGTTAATGTTTATGTTGACATTCATGTTCATGCTCACATACACGTTGACATTCACAATCATAGTTTACGTTGACATTTACGTTCACATTGATGTTCAAGTTTATGTTTACGTTAAAGTTTACGTTCATGTTGACGTTCACATTGAGATTGATATTGACGTTCACATTCATGTTCACATTTAAATTCACGTTACCATTGACGTTGGTGTACACATTGATGTTTAGGTTGACATTAGAGATGTCGTTGCACATACATTTACATTGACGCTCACATCATATTTACGTTTAATTCATGTTGATATTGACGTTCACATTCAAATTGATGTTCACGTTCATATTGAGTTTTACGGTGATGTTTACGTTAATATTGATGTTGATGTTTACGTTTACATTGACACTTTTATGGACGTTTTTATTGATGTTAACATTCAAGATGATGTTCAAATTGACGGTTACGTTGTTGTTCAAGTTGATGGTCATATTCACGGTAACGTTGACAGAAAAATTCACATTCACATCGACATTCACGTTCTTGTTAGCCTTCACGTTGATGTTTATGTTGATGTTAACATTGACGTTCACATTGACATTTACATTAAAGATCACATTAGCGTTCATGTTGATGTTTATGTTCACGTTCAAGTTGATGTTGATGTTTATATTGACATTCAAATTCACTTTCACATTAACCTTTACGTTGTTGTTTATATTGATGTTGACATTGACATGCACGTTCATATTAACATTCACATTGACTTTGATGTTAATATTGATGTTGACATAAAAACTGACATTCACGTTTTATTTAACATTCACGTTAACGTTTGCACTCACATTTACGTTAGTGTTGACATCAATGTTGATGTTTTCATTCACATTGACATTTACATTAACATTTATATTAATATTAACGTTGACGTTCACATTAATATTGACGTTGACATTTATGTTTATATTGATGTTGATGTTCACATTGACGTTCACTTAGACATTCCCGTTGACGTTCACATTCACATTGACGTTGACATTCACGTTCATGTTCATGTTCACATTTACGCTGATGTTTATATTGACGTTCATGCTCATGTTAATATTCACGTTCAAATTTATATTAACATTTTTGTTGATATTGACATTGACATTGAAGCTGACGTTGATATTGACATTGATTTTGACGTTGACGTTTCACATTCATGTTGTTGTTGACGTTGATGTTGATGTTGATGTTGATGTTGAATTCACGTTTACGTGTTCACATTTATGTTGTTTTTCAAGAAGATGTTTGCATTTACATTTATGTTGACGTTGATGTTAATATTGATGCTGACGTTGATGTATATGTTGACGTCGATGTAGATGTTGATGTTGACATTGACATTGATATTGACATTCAGGTTGACGTTGGTGTTCAAATTGTCTTTGATGATAATATTGATGTTAACGTTTATGTTCACGTTCATGTTCATGCTCACATAAACGTTAACGTTCACATTCATAATTTACGTTGACATTGACTACAACATTGACATCCACATTGAAGTTAAAATTGACTTTCAAGTTTACAGTCATATTCATATTGATATTGACATATACATTCACATTAACATTCACATTCAGGTTGATGTTCACGTTAACATTCACTCTACATTTACATTGATGTTCATATTGAAGTTTAAATTAAAGTTCATATTTACGTTGACGTTGAATTTATGCTTATGTTTACGTTCACATTAATGTTTATGTTTATGTTTACGTTCACATTGATATTGATGTTCACATTGACGTTCACATTCACGTTAAGGTTTATGTTGACATTTACGTTCATGTTGATGTTGACATTTACGTTTACATTGATACTTATGTGGACATTGATGTTGAATTTTATGTATACATTGACATTCACCTTAACTTTCATGTCTAAGTTCACGTTGACATTGATATTGACGTTTACTTTCACGTTCACGTTCATGTTGATATGTACATTGACGTTAGCGTCAATGTGCATGTTGATATTCACATTTATGTTGACATTTACATTGAGTTGGTGTTCAAATTCACGTTGATATATATGTTAATGTATATGTTGACATTCAAGATGATTTTTATGTTGATGTTCACGTTCACATTGATGTTCATATCGACGTTCAGGTTGATGTTCACATGAACGTTGACGTTAACGTTAACGTTCACGTTCACATTCATGTTAACATTTATGCTTAGATTCATGATGATGTTCACGTTGATGTTGATATTAATATTGACATTTATGTTCAAGTTAATGTTGACGTTTACATTAAAGCCAAAGATGACATTTATGATGACGTTCACATTGACAATTACGTTAACGTTCATGTTCACATTGACGTTGAAGTTTACTTTTACGTTCACATTCACGTTCCCATTGAAATTTAAGTTCATATTAACGTTAATATTGACATTTACGATGATGTTCATATTAACATTGACATTTATTTTCATATTTACATTGACATAGACGTTGACGTTCATGTTCCTATAGACATTGACGTTACATTAATGTTAACATAGATTTTGAAGTTGACATTGAGATTTATGTGTACGTTCATATTTATATTAATGTTGACGTTTATATTTACGTTGACATTTAAATTTATGTTGACGTTCATGTTTACCTTGACGATAATGTGGATGTTTAAGCGTACATTCATGTGGAAATTGACGTTAATATTGACATGGACGTTTATGTTGACATTGACATTCACGTTGACGTTGATATTAACGCAGATATTGATGTTAATGTTCAAGTTGACATTCACGTTGATATTCAAGTAGATATTTCAGTTGATGTTCACTTTGATATTGACGTGGAATTCACGTTTATGTTGAGGTTCACGTTCATGTTGATGTTCATGTTCACATTTATGTTGACGTTGATATTGACGTTGATGTTGATGTTGACTTTTACATTTATTTTTATGTTAACATTCATGTTCATTTTCATATTGACGTTGACGTTCACGTTCTCGTTTACATTCACATTGGTGTTGACGTCAACGTAGATGTTGACATTGAAATTTCTGTTGACGTTGACATAGTCGTTAACATTTATTTTCACATTGTCGTTGATGATAATTTGGTGTTAATGTTTATATTAACGTTCATGTTCATGAACATGTTTAGGTAAACATTCATATTCAAAATTGACGTTGATGTTGACGTTCACGTTCACGTGACATCAACGTTGCCATTCAGATTGATGTTCAAATTGACGTTCATGTTCATGTTGATGTTGACATTCACGTTCATGTTGACATTCACCTTGACATTCATGATAATGTTCACGTTCACATTGCCATTTTCATTGAAGTTGACATTCTCATTGACATTGTTGTTGACGTTGACGTTGACACTATTATTCATATTTGCGTTGATATTCACATTCATGTTCAAAATTAACGTTGATGTTCACAATGATGTGGACGTTCACGTTAATGTTAACATTGATGTTCACTCTAATGTTTATGCTCATGTAAACATTCGCGTTCACGTTAACTTTAATATTGACGTTGACATTGTAGTTTATATTAACGATGACATTAACATTCATGTTCAAGTTGACATTGTCATTCATGTTAACATTTTTGTGGACGTTGACATTAATGTTCATATTTACATTGACATGGACGTTCACGTTCATATTCACATTGCTGTTGACGTTTATGTTCACATTAACATTCCTATTGAGTCTTACGTTGATGTTGATGTTGACATTGATATTTATGTTGACGTTCAGGTTCAGTTGACATTGAAATTGATTGTGACTCTTATGTTTAGGTTCACGTTAACGTCGACATTCCGTGGAAATTCACGTTCATGTTCATGTTCATATCAATGCTGACATTTACATTAACCTCTACACTTAGGTTTTAGGTGACGTTCACGCTGACGTTTATGGTCACATTCATGTTGACGTTAACATCGAAATTGACATTCACATAGTCGTTCATATTGATGTTGATGTTGACATTCATATTCATGTTGAAATTCAAAATAACCTAAACATTGAAATTCACATTGACGTTGACGTTAATGTTCATGTTTAGATTAACGTTGACATTGACATTGACATTCATGTTTGAATTGATGTTGACATTCTCATTGACGTTCACATTTATGTTAACATTCACATTTACTTTGACGTTCATGATAAAATTTACGTATACATTCACATTGACATTGACGTTGATGTTCATGTTCACATTGATGTTGATGTCGATGTAGATGTTGACGATGTCGTGGACGTTGACATGTACAGGTAATAACGTTCATATATACTTTTTGAAATCAAATATAAACGGTCGTATGCAATATATTTACCCAACTATGAGTGGTGGTGGATTCCACAGAGAATATGGAAGAATATTATCAATAAAAAATATTTATCTTGATAGTCGTTATATAAAAAGGGGGATTTTAAATTGAAATAAAAACAAAATAAATAAAAAAAGCTTTAGACTAAGTATTTATTTGTATCCAAAGTAACAAACATAACTAGGAATGCATTCCCCATAATCTCATAACGCGGTAATCCTAATAATAGCAATTGTAGTGTTACGGATACAAAGTAATAAGATATGTATATCTAAATTCTTGGTCCGGCATCTAGAGAATTTCAGCCCGTACCTTGGATCGTATACGTATGTATAATTTACTAAATTTTACTTTTACCTCATATTAAGCATCATATTCAATGTATGATTAAGTTACTACTTTACACCAATTGAAACTAGCTTATTAGATAGTATATACTAAATCTATGTTTATAATTCTTTTCTTAGTATGTACCTCCTTGGTCCAACAAGTAGCAACAAGACAAGTTCTAATGTTGGACACTGTTAAAAATACTTCTAAGCGAATGAATTATGAATACACGCAATAACCTATTTTAGAATTGCTTAGTTACTATTCATAGTTTGTTAGTCAGTCATGGTTCCCACAAACCTAGTTTTTAAGCTTATCTACTCTTTATCACAAAAACACAATCGAAATTCATTAAAATAAATGTGTTTGTGTTAGTCCTAAAACGGTAAGAAACATAGATAAACTATTTTTCTATAATCATAAATACGAATAAATAATAAAGGAGAAGAAAGAATAAACCACAGTTTGCTGGTCTCCACAGCGGCTCTTACAAAGCTCCGAAGCTAGAAGAAAATTTATATTATGTCTTTTAACTTGTTACTTGGCTTCCCCAAATAATAATTTCTTTGTCTTATTTCTAGAAATACAAAAACCTAAATAAAATCATTGAGTTCAAACAATTTAGGAGATCAAAACCCAAAAGGAATTGAATAACATAAATTATTTGTTGTTATCGTTGTTGCGCCGCTTTTAAATTAGGTGACCTTTAAAAAACTGACACGTGGAAGCTGCAAATAGCGTGAGAATTGAAATTCTTCATTTGAGCCACAATTTTCATATATATATATATATATATATATATATTTATATACACACACATAAATATATTATTTTATTCAATTAAATCCATTAAGCTGTCTGCTTGATTTTCTTCTTCAACCTTCCATCTTTAATTGGTTTTATGTCCAAACGTTTTTATATTTTAACCAAAACAATTTTACAAGTAGAATACATAATTTAGCACAATTTACAAAATTAATTCTTGAAACGAACAAATATAAATTATAAATGTGAAGTATGTAACGACCTGTTTAGTTGTTTTAAGCAACAAACTTCAATCCTGGAAAAACAGGCTGAGGCGACGGACCAAACGACGATCCGTCATGGGCACGACGGACCATCGCAGGGTCTCGTTTCAAAACACATAGACAATCTGAAATTGGGTACTGAAAATCGACTCTCTGAACTTCGTGACGGAAATGGCAGGACGGACCGTCACAGGCGTGACGGACCATCATAGATTGTTCAGTGGAAATTGACTCTCTGACTCTTGCGACGACCTGCAGGACGGACCGTCGCAGGCACGACGGCCCGTCACAGGTTGCGCAAATCCCAGGCAGAATCGGATTTCCTTACACGTTTTAAGGGACGTTTTTGGACTATTCTTTCCTTAATTATAGATTTCGTGGGTTTATATAAATAACTCAAATTCTTGGGGGTTAAAAGAGGTAACCCTAAGTTAATTAGTGGGGTATTATTTCCATCTTT